CATTCATTTATCTTCCATGGTATTATAAATTGCTACAAAATGGACATCATATATATTAGCCACTAATAATCCTCGACGATTTTGCTGATAATATAATCATGGATGGCTCATCTCGTCTAGAACATAATTGGGTATACCTACAAAGAACTGGGAGAATAATTGGGTATATCTACAATGTATGTAGTTATCTGTTTTATGGCTCAATTTGTTCATCCAGTAAATGAAGGAACTCTTGTTTATCAGTTTGGACAATGGTTTGCAAGTTTGGATTGACATTAAGTAAACTTCATGTTTTGCCTGTACAAGACATTTTGTTGTTAACTGAATGATCTTGAATGACATGTGTTGTTAACTGAGTGATCCTTCTGTTAACTGAGTTTTTCCTTGTGTTTACTTGCAGTGCTCTTCGTTGAAGCAATGCATGATTAGAGGCACTTGAATTCAAGAGTGTTTCTGATTCAGGTTCATTCAACATTTAGCATAGTTTCTGAATGTTTTCCAATTATTGCTTTGCCTATCAGAACTATTAGCTTCATTGTTTGGTTTGTTTTCCTGCTTGTATAAAGATTTTTTTTACCCGATCTAGACGATGCTCGTTTTAAAAGTGCTTTAGTTAGATTGTATCGGTAGCATTAGTGCACCATCATGTGTCCAAAAGTCTGGTTTGTAGCCAGCAGACCGGTGGCGACCTCAGATTCCTGTGGACATCGCTTGCCCCGATGCAAACACTAGATCAGAGCTTATATTAGGCAGCAGCAATGCCTTCCATTATCATTTACATATTACATATTAGTGTAGACTTATTTTGAACATCTTTTTGCTGTTGCACAATGATTGCCAGGTGGTCAAAATGCACTTTTGGTCATCATTGTTGGAGCAGATTAGTGTACACTTATTTTAGTGTTGGTAAAGTTAGTAACTTAGTATGAAGTATCGTATTCCTCTTTTTTTCTGTGCCAGCAGTCTAGCCGTGGTTGGTTTCCTGAAGCTGTCCAGAAAAGCAGTTGAACCAACTATTTTCACCCTGTTTTATAGCAAGTATTGTAGTTTCTTTAAAATAAGTAGTAGGCTCAAGGCATACCTAGAGGCACACACCAGACCCATGTTTATTTGGAGGAAATACCCAAGGCCCATGTTTGATTTTGCAATCGCAATCACACCCTCTCAAGGTTAGAGTGGTGAACCCCAGCGAATTTTTATTATTTATATCGATCTGTAGGTCCTTTTCTTATTCATATATATACTATAGTATTGTTATTGTTTCCTGCTTTCTTTTAATTCTAGGAAGCACTAATTTTGTTGGGTGTGCATCGTCTCTGTTTTAATGATAATGCAAAGCTAGGGTCTTAGGAATTGCTTCTAGTTATACGAGATACTTACTTGAGTATTTGACATACAACCCCAGTGACTATTGGCACTGCACTGTCTCCACATGTTTCCTAAATCATCAGTAGATGGTGGAATGGTAGTGTGATGATGTAGCTTTATCATTACAGCTAGCTGCTGGTGAGATATCACCTCGCAGTTCAGAACACTACACTGTTCTGCTACATATTCTTGTAACTCACCATTTCCTTTGTGTTGCTTGTAGAGGACTTGGCGGAAGCAACACATGATCAGAGAAAAATAAGTTTGTTCCCTTCTTCATCACAAGCATCTAAGAAAACGTTCAAGCTCATAGCGAGATTTCGCTCCTCCTAACTGTCAATTTTTATATACATGCACCTACTATTTGTCCATTTTTTATGCTACATGCATCTATGTAATATAATATTGGTGTGTATGAACCGGAGGAAAATAATTTATTCTTGTGTCAGTTTTTGGTCAAGAAATTGATATCCTGATTTATTTTTTGTTATCTATCTAGATATGTGGATGGAGATGACTACTGATATTTCTGTGGAAGCCACATATTAGCTTTGTTGGAAGATGATACTTGAATAGAACTTCTATATTAATAGACTAGCTTTGTTTGAGGTTTGAAATATCTATTTATTTGTATGGAAAGTCTTGTCCCTGACTTTTTTTCATGATTTTGTGGATTTTTTTTCTGATTATTCGAGACATACAGTACTTTGCTTCAATTGTGCGGTCATTTTTACCAAACGTATTCTTGGATTGTTATATACTATACTATATAAAACAACAGCAGGAAAACTCCCCTGACAGCAGTCTGCCAAACAACAGCAGGGAAATTCTCCCATACGTGGATATCTCCCCAGGGTGGAGGTGGGAATGAGAAATCCAAAAAAATCCACGTCCGGGGCAAACTTCTCGGGGCTAATTTGCCTCTGCTGACAAAGTAGCCCTTAGGGAGCGGCTCGCGAGGTACAAAGAGCGCCGGCTCAAGTTTGGGCTCTTTTACCTGGCACCACACAACGAGAGGTTGTCCGTCGTGGTCGTCAGCCATCTGAAGCACATGCCGCTCAAGGAAGCACTCAGAAGGTCGCGGCTAGACCTCGACAGGAGGAGACGCATTCTTGAGAGATACAACGCTCGTCGTCAGCCTCCTGCTCTTTCGTCACCTACAGCTAAACTTGTGTTGTACACAGTTTGCTCCGTGTTCTTGGCTTGTCTGATTATATTATGTTAGAGAATGTTTTTAATATGTTTACAGGTAACTGTAGTGTGCATTTTTTTAATTTGGAGCCATCTTGATGTAATAAATATAATAATGTTCTTATTCACAAATGCAGATTCAAACATCATATCCGTTATTTCATCACCAAGATGGCTTCAAACAAAAAAATAAGTTGTGAGCTACAAAGTCATAGATCACCTTGAGCACTGTAACGTGTTTACACGTTTATTAGAATGTTTTATGAATTTTCTAGATCCTTTTTCAATTTTTCTAGAACTAAATATAATATTTCCAAAAGCTTCTAGAGATAATTTTATGAGCTATAAATATTTTATTCGGTTTTCTAGCGTCCTAATCTACTATAAGATTTCTCTCGATTTTTTCATAAGTTTGACGATACATTTTGTGATTTAAAAACCTTAGAGCATCTCTAAGAGCATTTCTAAATCTCAGTCTCTAAATTATCATGTGAAGAGTCATTTGTATAAAAATCGTTTTCTATATCTTTTCACTATCCAATAGTTTTTTCTATATCTCGTGCGCACTCTAAAGAACCATTCTCGTCTTCTATTTTTGGTTAGCGAAAAATCCAAAACAGAAGATAGCTATATTTGGATAGCCATTTAGAGAAGCCGTTGGAGGATAGTTTTTTACCAAAATCTTTACGGCAGTGCTAGCGCCCGGATGTCCGAACGGATGCCCGCTGCTGCACTCCATCTCCCCCCGTGCACCTGCATCCCGTGCCAGCGCGTCAGTGTTGCAAGTGTTGCATCTGAATATATCAAAAGTAGATCGGGTGTTGCATCTGAAACACACGAAATATGCACCTGAAACACTAGCTGCAACATCGGATCTACTTTAATCTGGATGTTTAAAGTAGATCTGATGTTTCGTGTGCTTTATCTGGATGTTTAAAGTAGATCTGATATTTTGTGTGTTTCATCTGCCTTCAGCCATGGCCGCGCGCCAGTGTGGGGCATGACGCGAGCGCAGAATGGATAAGGATGGGGAGGAGGAAGTGAGGGATAGAATTTTTCTAGTAGCGAGCGGAGCATGCGGGAGTGAGCGGTGGAAGACGTCCATCCATCCGGACGTCTTAATTGTATCATTATCGATATTCCTAGCATTTACAAAGGATACAGAGTCTCTTGGAGATGCTCTTATCAAGTTTCTATTGGTTTGATTTTTAACTAAAAATGGTAAAGAGTCTTGAAAACCATTTCTAACCAGAATATAAGGTTAGAGCATCTCCAAGAGTATATAATATTTTCTTCTTAAAAACATGAAGTTTTACAACTCCTAAAAAAATATTGAAAGGAATATAGAAGATCATCTCCAAGAGTTTCTAATAATCCACTCCTAAAATATAGAAGACAATTTTACATCAGGAGATCCTATACTATTTCTAAATTATCCTAACAACTTTTATATATTCTTTTACATTTATATCAAAAACCCTTTTCTACTTTTTATTCTTTCCACGCCCTTCTACCTTTAGATTAGCCGACAAACACGCACGGGAAAGAAAAGATAATGATTTTGAGAATTGAGAAAGACAAATTGCTTGTTTTTTTTTCAATTATTGTACGGACATAAACACTCGTATATGCATATCTTAACATGCATGTACTTTTAACATAAATGTACATTTTAACAAACATGTACATCTTGAGATGGAAACGTTGAGCTTGGACGATAGTCAGAGGTGAAAGGAACTTTTTTCCAAAGCGGGGCGTAGACGTATTCACAGGCTTCGGCAGCGCTACTAGCTGAATTGCATGCTGTCGTTTTTCCATCAAATCCTTTCTATTTATGTTTATTTTTTCTCTATAAAAATGATAGTTTTCACCTAAAAAATTATGGTTTCTTCTCGAATTTCCTACAAATTCAAATGTTGTTCAAACAATCCAAAAAAATACTGTTCAAAGGATTCATGATGTAAAATGTTACTACAACAAGTGCTTTTGCATGGCCTGGGTCGTCGTCATTGTTCAGATGATTCTCTATCAAACTTGACGCAGGTAGCGAACTGGTTGACCGTTTTGGATGGACCTTCTGGTGTTTTAAGCATCATAGAATCATTGATCCAAATAGACAAAATAACAACAATCTCCACATAATAAAGAGTGTAAAGCACGTAGTACTACCTTAGGATTATTCATATTGCTTCCGAAATAACCAACACCAAATGATGGCGAGGAATAGGCAGCAACCAGCTCAGCGGCTTCCAGTTCAGTCAAATCCCCTCCCTACGAAAAGATTCATGGTTCAGCTCACAGTGGAGGGGCTTACCCATCCAAGACCTAAGCAGATGGGATTGCAACTACTCACCTTTAGAACATCAGCCTGAACTAGCAACAACCCAGCGCCTGTGTCATGAGACATCTTGCTGCTGCTTTGAACCACAGAGCGGAGAACTTTAGTGCATGCAGAAGCAGGACCAGATTGTGACCTGACAATATATACATATATATTCAGACTTACACTTACATAAGGGGATATTTGCTGGAAAATAATGTAAAAAGGAAAAAAGAAAAAAGGAAAGGAAAGGACAAAAGAAAAAGAAATGATCATACAATGATGATGAGATGCAACATTCACGGGCAGCAAATCCTCTAATCAAGTGTTCTCCAGCTCCAGTTGCACAACAAGCAACTACGAATGGTGTACCAAAGGGTCCTTTGGACGAAGCCCAGCACCCAGAGCCAAACATAGCTGCCAACCCAACCCGGCCATCTACCTGCCAAGTGCTATGACATCAGTCTGCTTTTCTTAGCACCAACAGTACAATGAGAGGTTTTTGCTACTGCTAGAGTAACACAAAGTTCATGACAACCATACTCACTAATCCAAAAGTGTAAATAAACTAAAAACAAAAGGAGCATTTTCAAGGGGCAACCATTTATTAGAAACTTTGAACAAGAACTGATTAGAACAATGACCAACAGACCTTCAGGGCAATACCACCACTAGATGCACCTGATGCTACATTTCCGTAGCTATCTACACAAATAACACCAACAGTATCCATTACGCAATCTGTATTGTCTTCCATGAATGATTCTGTCAATATCTTCTTTACATCAGAAATATTCTCAGATTCAGTTCCTACAATGAATTTGACACAGGTCAGATGGACAGGTGGAGCAGGAAGCCTTTTATTAGCTGAAAATATAGTTCAAAAATCACAATTGCTACCATAGCAGAAAACAAGTGCAAGAATGTAACATTAGTACCACATTGCCGAGACTCTCAGTAGAGTAACTAAAAATTGGGTGGTGACATAAATATTTTCAGTGCTGATATCATACCACAGGTCCAAATGAAAGTAGTGCATGATATGTTATAAATGGATAATTACTAAGTGTCCAACTGAACTCAGACCAACCACTGTGCTGATATCTGTTTTATTTTTACATAAATGCTGATATCTGTTGGACATTGTGTTTATGGAAAATATGACAATTGTATATACAAAATCATTTGACAGACCTTGTGAAATGCAGTAGAACCAGTGTGTAACATGACTGGTTCACAACAAACCAGTCAAAATTATATTTCAAGAAGAACGGCTTGAATATTGCTGGAGACAAAACGTAATTAGGAGATAATGAAAAAAAAAGTAAATACCTAGCAGAATAGAATTTGGCAACTAACAAAACAGAAGTACAATGTAGGGCCAAGTTCTTAAACTACCCAACAGTCATTCAGTATCATTATGCTAAGGAAATAAAGTTGAATATTCAGATGACATTTCAACTTACACAAGGTGGAAGTTTGAATAAAATATCATACAGATTAATAAAACTTTAAAGTGTAACCCGAATAAAATAAGTAGCAAGTAAACATGGAGGTAACCTGGTGCTTCCAACTGTACTGAATGTTCTGAAGCAGGACCAGTGTTATGCTCTAATAATTTCTTGGTATTAACAAGCAATGATGTGTATTTCACCCACTGCGCTCTTGCATTCTCAGTCACCAACCACTGTTTGAGAACATAAATGTTCCACCAATCAGGAATGAATGATTAGTTTAGACAACAAAAAACAAGAAGGGACTCACATTATTAGCCCCCGATGCAGATTCAACTAGGTCCATTCCTTTAGATTTTGCCCATTGATATGCTCCTTCACCAACCAGAAACCTATAACAAGGAATAGTTCAGTATTTAGATATGGAGCTAAGATGGGTGATAGGTTAGTAGTAAATTAATAAAATCAACATAAATGAGTGTTGAATATATTGTGCATTGATCAGATTGCATCCTGAGACAAAACTGTAAAGGGAACTTTGTATGTAACTGGTTCAACGGATAAAGCAATAGCTTGCATTACAAGATGAGATGCAAATCATGCAACTTTGAAGAACATGTTACTATTCAGTTAGTTGAGTGGCACAAGTGAACAAAACAGATGGGCAAGAATTTACAGGGGAAAAACAGGCAAAAAGTGGAGAAGGTACTCGGTTTTCATGATTACATCGGGGGTATCAGACCAAGCAATGACGATCCTGCCATTTGTTCCTTTGCCAAGTGCAAAGCGACTTGGATTGGATTCTTTACATCTGATCTACAAGAAACAGAAAATAAGGTCAGAGCTGCAGTCAAAGTTCACAGGACAAACATATTACTCCCTCCGTTCCAAATTATAAGTCGCTTTGACTTTTTTGGTACATCTATTTTGCAATGCATCTAGATATAACGTCTAGATACATAGCAAAATGGATGAATAAAAAAAGTCAAAGCGACTTATAATTTGGAACGGAGGGAGTAGCATTTAGCACTAATTTTCATTCATACTACTTAGTTATCACTTCCATGCTTCAAATTACAAGTACCTCGAATAGCTCCAACAGCTCCAAAAGAACCAGAACTTCCATCCATGATGCTCGCATCGCATTCCACATGACCACTCTCAGTCAAATTTGAACCCCGGCCAGCATTTGTGACAGGATCATCCTAATTAGTCAGATATGAGAATAAACAGATTCAGATACCTTTAGCTTAGAGCAAGCAACCATTTTCCCAGAATATACCACTAAACCTTTACTGTAGTTAAACTATAGCATGCAAATATTAGGAAAAACATTTTGAAATCTGAAACAACACGTATCACTTACTTGTTTCATTTATTTGCACAATCTATATCTTGATCCTAATGTTTTCAAGATTAATTATACATAGGTACTACAAGAGTAAAACTATAGGAAGTCATAGAGCGTAATAATACTAACCTCCAAAACTTGAATGGCAGCTGCAACAGCATCCAGGCTTGTGCCACTGCCCTGGAAAATGTACAAAACAATATCAGGAATCCACTACTGGAAATGTACAAAACATCATCAGGAATCCACTACTGAAAATCTACATGGACGGATCTGAAGATTACATTTCCACATGATCAAAATATCACATCGTAGTGTGAGGTCAATGGTCCAGCACAACCTGAAGCTATCCTTTAGTAAACAACAACAACATGAAGCTACAGTAATAAAATCAGTCACCTATAAACCACACTATTTACAGAACTGAGAACAAGCAGGCCATGATCGGCTCAGTTTATAATGCACCACGTCTCCCTAACGGAAATGGATAGTGTGTCCCAAATTCCCAATCCCAATTAAACCCTACGCACTCGACAATTCCAATCAGCGGCTAAAATCTAGGCGCCACGACCAAGCCATGACAACAAGGAACAGGAGGGGGAGAGCGGGTGGTAAGAGCTCAGTGACCAGACCTCGCGAAGAATGGCTGCAGCGGCGAGGCAGGCGCGTTTCATGGCCCTGCGGTACGCCTTCTCGTTCGCCGGCGCGTGGAAGCCGGCGCCCACGTGCAGCGCCACGAAGAACCTGCGGGTGGGGATCGCGTTCTCCTCCCCGGCGCCGACGGCGGTCTCGCTGGTGCCGCCGCCGGTGGCCATCACGACGAGCACCCTTGTGAAATTATCAGCTGGGACCCTTGTGTAGATGGATTTTACGCTTCGTATTTTTTGCAAAGGAAAAAAATTGCATATTATTTCAGTTTAGCCCCTTGTGAAAGTTATATTAGTGGTCATAGAACTTTTGTCTTCTAAAAGTAGAAAGAATATTTCCATATCTTCTTGTACAGAAGATGGAGTTTCCTTGTTTGTGCAACGCTGCAATTTACAAGGATGCCAAGCTCTTTTTTAAAAAAAACGAAAGGCTGCCAAGCTTTCTTTTTTAACGAAAGGCTGCCAAGCTTTTAGTTTTATGAAAAGTGCATGAGGGTTTTATAAAAATTGTTGAGTCGTTTGAGTTAAGATTGCTTCATTAGCATGAAGTGTTCGGTACTATTTGGTTCGGTGATTTTTGGGTGTAACAGAATCACGCTACAATCACATCAAGTGATAAAGTTAATTTCGTTTGTTTCACGAGCTCTGTAATCTATTTATCTTCTTCATTAACTAGCAAACGTGTTCATATGCTGCAACAGGACTTAATACATTTTGAGATTGAAATATGTATATTGCTAGACGCTAGCTGTTCTAACTCGTATGAGTACTTATTAATGAGTCTGGGTCGCAAACGAGACATAAGAGCTAGATTTGAGCAAATTGAGCCTGGTCGGACTTGCTTGTGGCCTAGCCCAAGCCCGACAGGTTTTGGCTCATCTACGAGCAGGGCTGGATAACGAGCCGGTTTGGCTCGGCTCGGCTCGTTCTGGCTTGTTAAGATAACGAGCTAGCTCGGCTCGGCTCGTTATCTTAACGAGCCAGAAAGCCAGCTCGGCTCGGCTCGTTAAAAGCTCGAGCTGGCTCGTTAAGCTCGCGAATCAGGTATAAAAAAATACACAAAATATAATATTTGCATTTATCTAAAGTTTGAGAATAATAATGATACAAAAGAAATACATATAACAACCTTAAATCGAATAAAAAAAATAATATGCGCTAATATATATATATATAAGTATAATAAAATACTATAGTATTCATGGTCCATACTCCATACCATAAATAATACCGTCCATGAGTATCCATATATGCATTAAAAACAAAATAATATAGTAATAATAATCCCAAGCTTATAGGGTCTAGACCAATTACCAGTCAATTGTAAAGTGTAAGATATGAAGTAATACAAAAATTAATATAAGTTTTGATACTTTTTTTTCCTGGAAGCTTGGCTCGTTTAGCTCGCGAGCTGGCTCGAGTTGGCTCATTATAGCTAACGAGCTAAAATCTTGGCTCAGCTCGGCTCATTATCGTAATGAGCCGAGCCGAGCCGAGTCGAGCCAGCCACAAGCCGAGCGAGCTAACGAGCTTCGAGTTCTTCGTCCAGCCTTATCTACGAGCCTTAGTGGAGAGGGTCTGGACATAGATGCCACTATCTAAATTTTTTTTCTTAAAACGAGCCCAACCTAAAATATTTATTTTAGCGTAGATGACCCCACAACTTGGTCTGAAAAATCAGGCCTGATTCGCCTAGTGGGGCATCCATGGACAGAATTATTTTGGCCCAAAACAACCGGACTTTTTTTTTTACCCGACCCAAGCCTTACGTGTAGATGATATACTTTCTCCATCTCCAAAAGTATCGTTCTTATTTCCCGAGAAGTCACGCTTTTACCATAGACTAAATATTGTATTAAAAATTATTAATAAGGAGTGGTACATTAAACTACTTGACTTGTCATATTTTCATTCATTCTTTTTCGAATGGGGGTGTATATGGATGAACTCACACCATCACACAAACAAGACACCAGTTAAAAGACCGCCATGGTGTGTGTATTCGTCGCACTAGTCATCACGGATCAAGCTGCTACCGGGAATTCGGGATGGAGACGAGAGATTGATTGATTGGTGTGCAGTTTTGCAACTCAGCCCCTGGTACGCATGCATCTTCGCTCCCGCCAAGGGGCCTGCAGGCGAATTCCCATCCTGGCCAATGGCCATTCATGTGAACTGCTTCCACCTGCCCTCCCTCCTCCTCCCACTCACCTCTCCTGCTCTCCTCTCCTCCCTCCACCACTGGGCCATTGCAGGGCAGCAGAGGGGAAGGAAAACCCCACCTCCACCACGCACGCAACCTCCGATCGGGCCGCCACCACCACCACCTCCTCCTCCTCCGGATTTGTTGCTGCTCGTGCTCGCCTGTGCTCCCACTCTCCAACTCCAAAGCCGAAGCGCCTTTTCTCTGTTGCATCGCGCGCTCCCGCAACCTCGCATTTCCAATCGGAGGTTTGCTTCCCAGCGCCGCCTCGTCCCCGAAACCCTCATTGCTCTTGGCGTCCGTCGTTGCGTTTGCGTGGGGGAGGAACCGCGTGGTTGATGTACGATATTCTCCTCCGTGCATTGCTTTTGGCTGTCGTGTCTCGTGGGGTTTTCTGCCTGCTATACTTGGCTGCGCTACTACATGTCCTCTTCTTCTTCTTTTTCTTTTCCTTTTTTTTTGCGTGTGTGGGTTTAGAGTTCAGCATTAAGGAATTTCGTGTAGCATCTAGGTGATCCTTTTTAGTGCGAATGTGCGATTCATAGTTGCGTTTCAATGCCTCTGATTTTAGTGGTTTTGTCTTATATAGGGTTTTGAGTTAGCATTTTTTTCTTTTTTTTTAAAGAAAATTAGAGGAGCACTGCACACTAGAATTACTAGGGGATGGGAAGGTAAAACATGTTCATGTACAAAGAACCCTACAAAAAAATGGTTTTACTTGTTACATGCATTCTTTTAAGAAATTTTCTTCAGCGTTTGTGTTGGATAAAGAATACCAAAGTCCTTGGGAAAAATTTAATACACAGACATATGCTATGGCCCTAATAAAGAGGTTAACTTAGTTGGATTATATATGCTTCTCATTTGATATTATTGACTCTGCACTATGGAGCAGCTGAGCCTTGCAAGTTACTGTTGTTACTGTACCCTTTTAGTTCGATTATTTGCGCAAAGGTTTGATGGTTCTGCTGATTGCGTTAAACTTTTGTATTGATTGAGTGACAGTGCATCTGGATCACAATATTAGTTTATCCAATTATGTAACTAGTTTTTACCGGTGTGGAAAAAAATTATGTAACTAGTAACAAGGCAAACAATGCAATTACATGAGGAGCTGTTACTGAACATGTTGCTGTCGCTTTCAGTCCCAGTAGTCGAAATTTAAATGATCAGTCAGTTATGTGGATCACCTTTAGTTTGCGAGGAAGGCATTGCGCAACTGACAATCCAAGTTGTGCAGACGTGCTTAGTAGACCCCAAAGGTTTCATTTGAAATCCAATGTTTTTCTTTCAATGAGCTGTTGCATATTCAGTTGTTCACTGTTTAATTATTTTTATCGGTGTCCTTCAGTGACATACATTTCCTCCACCTTTTGGGGCTAACCAATATTCTCTTCTATGAACCAATTTTCAGAACAAGAATGGGAGAAGTGGCTTGACTGGTCAGCTGCAGGAGAGTCAGAGTGATGACATGAGTGCTGCTGCTGGTTATGAGGAAGGCAGCGAGGAGGAAGAACCATTTGAGGTTGAATTCTATGATGACGATGATGATGAGCTAGATGTGGAGCAATGCAATGGCACTGCTCTGCCTGAAAACAAGGATGCAAGCGATGAGGAACCTTTTGAAGTAGACCTTTGCAGCGATAAAGGCAGTGGCAAGGCTGACTCATCTCATTCAGAGCATTACATCAATCTGGTGCCTGATGGCCGCAATACTTGCTGGAACCAGCTGTATGTGGTGGAGCCATGTCATGGTCTAATGACTGACAAAGGGGAATTTGTTGAGAAGAAATCCAACTATGTGCAACCATCGAAACAAGAACAAAATAAGAAAGAGCTGAAACAAGTGTTGAGGCACAACAACTCTGCGCAGAAGGAGGTATCTGTGGCCAAAGAAAAGGAAACTATGCCATTCAAAAAACGGTTATCTGTCAAGTTTGCTACTGATGTATCTTGTTATACATACAGTACAGAAAGTTTTGCTGCTGCTACCGTAGAGAAAAGGAAAGTTCAATCTGATGACCAGGACAAGCACCTGTGTAAGAGACAAGAGCTCTCATTTTCTTCAGCTCATGATGAGGGCAAACTGAAAGAAGGGAATGACACTAATTTGTTTGTGGGTAACCTACCACCTTCCTTGGCTTCTCACAAGCTCATTGAGCTATTTCTGCCATTTGGAAGAATTGTTAGATCAAGAGTTGTGGATGATTGCTTCACTGGTTCGAGCAAGGGATATGGCTTTGTACAGTATTCTGATCCTCGTTGTGCTGCTGAAGCTATTAAACACATGAATGGACGCATGGTTGAGGGAAGAATGCTAGAGGTCAGACTGGCTGATGCTCCATCATCAGGTTCCACAAAAGAAATGGATATGAGTAATTTGTATGTCTGCAACCTTCCCTTGCTCCTGCATGAAGACAAGTTACATGATCTTTTTGTACCTTATGGGCAAGTAACCAGTGTGAAGGTAGTGAGGGATCATGCCACGGGGTTAAGTAAAGGATATGGCTTTGTGAGGTACTCTGATCCTCAACATGCAGCTCATGCTATTTTCCAGTTGAATGGATGTCTGATTGAGGGGAAGAAGATGGAGGTTCGAGTGGCTAGTGTTTCCTCATCAGGATCCAATCCATCTGTCCAAGCTGTATCAGAGACTGATCATCAACTCACGAAAGAGGTGGACATGAGTAATGTGTATGTCCAAAACCTTCCCTTACTCATGAATACAGACAAATTGCTTAATCTTTTCCTACCTTATGGGCAAGTAACTAGTGCAAAGGTAGCCATGGATTTCACGTCAGGTATAAGTAAAGGATATGGCTTTGTGAAGTTCTCTGACCCACACGATGCAGCCCATGCTGTTATTGAGTTGAATGGACGTCTGGTTGAGGGGAGGAAGATATTGGTTCGAGTACGACCATCAAGCTCGCCTGTGGAATCACATGACAACAACAGGACCCTCAAAGAAATCGACATGTCTAATCTATATGTTTGTAACATCCCCTCGTCCATGAACAAAGCCAAGTTGGTGGAGCTTTTCCTGCCATTTGGTAAGATCACCCATGCAATGGTGGTGGAACAATCCAATAATTCAAGCAAGGGATATGGATTTGTCAAATTTGCTGATTCTCATTGTGCTGCTGAGGCTATTGCACTGATGAATGGAGCACTGATTGAAGGTGAAACGATCTCTGTCAGAGTTGCTGGCCTTTCTCCGTCAGTATCCAGCTCAGTTTCACAGCATTCACCACACTCAGAAACAAATGCCTCTCCTGAAATCAACAACTGTAGACTGTACGTCACCAACGTTCCACAGACCATGCCAGCTGACAAGCTTGTTAGTCTTTTCATGCCCTTTGGTCAGATTGACAGGGTGGTGATGTACGCGGAGTACAGTCTTGTGCTATATGCAGATATAAACTCAGCAGCGAAGGCTCTCAAGCACATGGATGGGTACCTGATTGAAGGAAAGAGGCTAGTAGTCAAGGGATCTGAGCCTCTTCCAGCCAATGCAGGTAGCAAGCTTGTAAAAGAAATTGACATGGCTAATCTGTATGTTGGCAGGGTTCCATCAGCTGTGACCTGTGAACAGCTGGTGCAGATTTTCTGCCTATATGGAGAAATTGTTCGAGCTAAGAAGTTTGATGTCGGGTATGGCATGATCAGGTATGCTAATGCTTCATCTGCTGCTGCCGCAATTGATCAATTGGATGGTTACCAGATTGGAGGAAGCACTCTGGTTGTGAGAGTTGCAGGGCTTCCTGCAGAATCTGATGTAGCCACATTTGCTCGAACCCCTCAGACACCTGGCAATGAGCACAGACAAATTGACATGACTAATCTATATGTGGGCTACCTCCCGCCGTATGTTACTACTGATAAGTTGATTGAACTTTTCCTGCCATGTGGCCAAATCACTCAAGCGAAAGTAGTTGTGGATAAGTTCACAGGTGTCAGCAAGGGATTTGGATTTGTCAGATTTGTTGATGCTTCCTCTGCTGCTACTGCGATCACTCACATGAATGGTTACCCATTGGATGGGCATATGTTGGCGGTTAGAACAGCAGGTGTCCAACAGAGTGACATGGCCAGCTACATGGCACATTTCTACTCCTACTTCACTTCCCCTGATCCCTCAAGGATGGCTGTTGGAATCCTGACATCAGACTGGTCATACTATTATGGTCAATCTGCATATAACCCATATTATTATGCTGAATCCGCATACACCACACCGGCCGTGCACCAGGGACAAGGTGCTGAATCTGCTGCTGCGACTGCTGCTGGTAAAACATCTCAGCTGGAAGGCCTGTCTGGACCTGAACCGGTCGGTTCAGTTGCTGAGAGAGATGGCTCTTCTGTGTCAAATCCTGCTGCTTCTGATGGTTCTCGGTTGGATGTTTGGGCTGGTCCACTTGGCTTTGAGTCCCATGCTGTCGCCAAGAAAGATGCCACTACGATGAATACTTCTCAAGCTTGGGCTGTCGCCAAGAAAGAGGTCAGTATGATGAATACTTCTCAAGCTTGCTCGAAGGTGCATATGGTACAGTCGGAAGGTTGGGCTGGTCCACCTGGCTTTGAACCCCATGCCATCGCCAAGAAAGATGCCACTGTGATGAATCCGCCTCAAGCTTGCTCAAAGGTGCATATGTCTGTCAGTGGGAGCGAGAAAAGAAGTCCAGTTGTCTAACATATAGTATGCATGTCTACCTGTAGTCTGATATAACATAGCAGGATGCTCTTCGGATAGGCGTGTTTTCGAGAAGATTATGCTTATGCAGTTTTCCCTCGTGGAAGAAACTGTATCCTGTGCATTTTACTCAACCCAACATTTTCAGTTGCGCATATTCTAGTAGTGGATGTTTTTTACCCTTGACTGTTATTCCAAATCTACATAACGTTTTCATGTGTTTTTTCTTGGAAATGTTTCAATTTACTTCCCCCGTTCCAAATTACAAGACGTTTTGACTTTTTTAGATTGTTTTTTTACTATGTATTTAAACATATTGTATATCTAAGTACATAACAAAAACTATGTATGTAGAAAAGCCAAAACGTCTTATAATTTGAAATAGAGGGAGTAGCTGTTAAAAATTTCAGTCAGCATTAATCCATTACAGAGGGTCTATGTGAAGTATCATAGTTCAGTCAAAGATCATAAAAACCAACTTGGATTTGAGGTGGTAAAACAATTTTCAGCATGCTCCCATACAAACAACTTGCTTAGGTTCCGTCCAAAGACAAGAGCCCAAGTCCACCCTATCATTGATAAAATTGCTGACAGATTGCCAGGATGGAAAGCTGACCTGCTCACTAAAGCTGGTAGGAAAATTTTGGTACAATTTGTTCTCACCTCTATGTTAATATATCTGGCAATGGCCCTGGATCTTCCTTCCTGGGCTTTGAAAGCAGTTGATAAGATCAGAAGGGGTTTCTTGTGGAAGGGAAGAAAAGATGTGAGGGTGGTCACTGTTTGGTTGCTCGCCCAAGGTAACCCGTCCTCCTGAATTGGGGGGCTTGGTATTTCACAATTACAACAGCTAGGGTGGGCACTCGAATGAGGTGGCTCTGGTTGCTCAAAACCGAGCCCGACAAACCATGGAATTTTTTTTCCCATTCAAGTGCATCACTCTGTCAACCTTTTTCTCAAAGCAGCCATATCTTCTGAGGTCGGCAATGGTAAGAATACACTTTTTTGGACTGATAAATGGCTACATGGACAGAGTCTTGAAATGCTTGCTCCACTCTTGTTCAACTCTGTCTCTAGCCGTGCAAAGAAAAGAACAGTGTATGACGCTCTTACTGATGGTAGATGGGTTGCGTACATAAGAGGTGCCCAGACTTTGTGGGTGTTTTGACCGAATTTCTCGATCTTTGGGACTTGTCATTGAGGTGGTGCTACAATTTAAGTGGATGATTCTCACATTTGGAGGTTCTCTTCCACAGAAAGTACTCAGCTAAGTCGGCTTATGAAGCAATGTTCATAGGGGCCACTCATTTCAAACCCAGGAAAGAATCTGGAGGAGTTGGGCTACTGAAAGTGCTGGGTTCTTTATGTGGTCTGGTTGCCCATAACAAATGCTGGACGGCTGATAGACTTGCTAGGAAGGGATTGCCGCATCCAGAGCAATGTCCATTATGTGATCAAGAGGAGGAGACGATTAATCACCTGCTTGTTTCCTGTGTGTTCTCGCGCCAAGTTTGGTTCATTGTCTTCCAGCAATTTGGACTGCAGTGTCTTGCCCCACAACCTGGGGACCTGCTATTTGATGAGTGGTGGGAACAGGTGAACACTAGGGTGACTGATCTTGTAAAGCAAGGCCTGAACTCCTTGGTTATCCTGGTGGCTTGGGCCATCTGGAATCACAGGAACCGCTGTGTGTTTGATGGACAGCAACCTGAGCTGTATGGTTTGCTCCGTTCTATCAGGGTTGATCTATACATGTGGGATATGGCTGGGGCTCGAGGCATTTCTCAACTCCTCGCCCTGCAGCCTCCTAGTTGATCTTTTTTTCCTGGTCATGGGTAGTTCCTGGATGTAATAGGTGATCTAGCGTGTGTGTATTTGTTGGAGTTTTTTTGTCTGGTTTTCTCTCCTTTCAAAAAAAAAACCAGTGTACTACCTGGGTGCTTTACCCTTTTTTCTTCTTAATATATTGATACGCAGCTCTCCTGCGTGTTCGAGAAAAAAAAAGGTTCCGTCCAAAGCATTTGAAGCAGCTGCTGGAAAGGCACTTGCAGATGCCTTCGGACACCTTGCGCCCAAATTTCTCATGAATTTGCAGACAATAGCTAACAACGGCAATGCATAATTATCGTCTTTTATTACATCACCCCTGTCTCAAGGAACATCTCGATTAACACAGGGTAAAATGAAACAGGTAATTCTCATTTATTTTCACCAATGTATACATGTAATCTGAAAAATTGTGAATATGGAGCAGTACAATCTGTTTGGACTTGGAAGGAAAAATGGATGCATGTAATTGTCATGAAAAAGATGCCAAAAAGCATTTAGTCAAAGATCACTTAATAAATGTGAACTTGATAAATATATGGTGCAAATAAACTAGAGATCATTTCGACATGAAGAGAGATCTGCATTGCTGAGCTGTGTCATTGGGGCTGGTAACTGCAAATCAAAATGATATGGAATCAGTATGGGAATGACACAAATGGTGACTTGGTGAGTGAGTAGCATTTGTAATATGCAACTACTATGATGATGAAAGAGGTCTCATTTAACATTAAAATTAAATTCTGCGGCCAAAATTTCACGCAAGCCTCATATTTATTTTGCACTGATGCTTACTTTTCCTATTTATTTTTATTTTCTAAGGAGAACTAAAAGTGTCTCTCTTTAAGCTATGTCCATTTCTTGTTAGGTGACATTACAAATTCATAGGCATAAGAATATCAGCCTTTGCCATACAGCCAGCATACCTGTATGGCCAACTGTTCTTTCAGATTCAAATATCTCATAGTCATTGCCACCCTGTTCAATGGAAAACAAGAATTAGTCAGATAAATTACCAAAATAAAGGCCATGTTAGAATTAAGCTGCTGGTTACTAACCAAAAAATATAAAAATATACACGCAAATTATTTTGGGTCCTAAGAAGAAGCTACATATCCACACAAACAAAATTCAAGAGTTTTATACGATTTAAACACCAGTAAGGAAGACATATCACCTTGTAGGTCTTATCCCCAAAGAAATGGATTTCTTGAAATTCCTCAAGATATCTCAAGCAGTAAGTCTTGTCCCAACCTTGGGGAAATACCTGGAATTTTTGCGTGGTAGTAGTAAATACCATGATTCCAATTATTTCAAGAAAATACATACGTGTACAAGTCTAGGAGACTCACATCAAAACTAATCTGCCCTCCAATAGAAAATGTCAGGTTCATGTGTGCAAACTTTTCACGAAGCACTGACACCATTTTAGGTCGAATGTTATGCACCTGCAGGAAATCAACCGTTTCAGTCCCATAGATTTGATTCCCTCCTCTCTGACTAAGAAAAGGAAATGACTTTTAGTAGACGATTTATACCTTATCATACTTCTCAAATTCATCACGTTCTTCTTGGCTACAGTTTCTTCCTATAGGAGATACATTAATCATTCCACTTCGGAACTCTATGAACGTACCCCTGAGCAATCAGTCAATATTATAAAGGTCAGTAATGACTAACAAGCTAGTGCAAATCATAACTGTTGAACAGGGTAATTAACTGACCTTTTAATTGGGATATCCAAGTCAGCAATGTAATGAAGAGTGAAGTTAATAAATTCCTGGAAAGAGAACACATTGTCTTCAGCAAGGCCTTAGGATTTTATCAAAAGAAGCAGTGCAAGAACGTGAATACACCACATTTAGGCTTACCTTTAGCTCGTCTTCTCCAACAAATGATTTCAAACTCTGCAGAGTGCACAAGGACAGGTTTTAGCATATATATAAAGGGTCTCTAGGTAAGTCCGTTATTCTACTGGACTAGAACTTTGTATGACAGTTTGTTTGGTCGGTGTTGCATGTCAACAAAGGAAAAGAACAGAGGCATTCCTTTATTAAACTAAATTTCTGACAATCTCAGCATATACCTAGTGGAACATTTTTCATTCAGAATGAAATATCAGGAGACGTTGACCAATGCATATATGTTGAGACAGTGTATGTAACTATGTAAGGTGCCCAGAGACTTACTTGAGTTCCAATTAGTTGGCCATTTTTGTGTGCAACCAGGCCGTTTTCAGAGAAGACATAATCATAATCAGTAATAACTGCAAAAACGAAAGGGGAAAAAAAGGCAAAACCAATTACTTCTAACGTTGCAGAGTTCATCATCATCATCAGTGCAATGACAGGGTCACGCAGAGTGACAGAGCAACTAACTCCTAGCAAGTCCAAACTTGAGTGCCTATGTTCATCACCTGTTTTACCGAGCTGCTCGGTAATCTTCACAAGATCGGATCCGCCAACCACGCCCACAGTCACATGCTGCTCCCAAAATAAATAAAAAACGAAGCTGTAATTTCTCGTCATACAACGAACAAATACAGCAGGACTAAGAGGGCGAGTATCTCAATTCTCACCTGGCGCAGCTGCTTCATGAACTCTAGCATCTCTGGCGTCACCACCTGCCCCAGAGAAGCACAAGATCATTTCACAAAAACAAACAAAACAACGCGGCGCTCGACAATTTCGAGCTGCAACGCACTCCTATCCTATCGGCTACTGAGCTCCTCCGAGTACCAAGCTACCGCGACCGGAGGCTGAGATTGAGAAAAGGAGACGGATCCAGGAGAGGGGAACTCGCGGCACCTTGCGCGGCGCTGTGAGAGTGCCGTCGACGTCGAAGAGCGCGAGGACGCCCGCATTCCTTCCCGCGGCGGCCATCGCAATCCGTCCGCTCCTCACGCCCCTGCCTCCGCTACGACTGCGAGCAGAGGATGAAGCGGCGGTCCTCGCGGCCGCGTGGTAGTAGTAGTAGTAGTAGTAATAGCAGCAACGGCGCCCGGGCCAGAATCGCGGGGAGACGAAGGCGTGGGTTGCAATAGTCAGCTCGGCGGCGCGGATCTAGATGCGGCCCTCGCTTGGCGTGTGGACTGTGGAGCGTGGAGTCGTCGCGTCGCGCGCAAGGGAAGGGGCGTCGGGATCTGCGCGCGGGGAGGGGAGGGACGAGGAGGA